GATAGATGTTAGTCCAACAAATCTTCCAGCAAGGGAGGAGAGAACATGAAGAGGTTACAGAAGGGGAGATGCTGCTGCTTCTACTTTAGCTTTCATGTTTTAACTTTGTGCCTTAGAGCCAGCTGGTAGCTGCCAAAAAGCCATGTTATGGCTTCCTGCTTTAAAACTCTGCTGCTTTCTTACATTTTTTTATGTTTTTTCTTTTTTTGTTCTTGCTTTGTTTTGTAGAGATCAAAACAAATCGAAAACTACTTTTATGACCACGGGTTATTAGATACTGGGGCATTTCTTTGTCTATGCAATAATATTTCCGTTTGCTATTATGACATCTTTGCACAAAAATACAAAGGCATATTTTACTGTCAGTGCAGCCTTGTGCCATTTATAAAGTATTCTGATTTCTCTTTTTAAAGAAATAGTCTCACTTCTGTTCAGTATTTGTACAATTCCTCCTAGAAGTGACGTCTCATCTGTTAAAGGCGAAGTTCATGTTTACTTTTTGAGAAAAAGTTTGAGCAACAGTTAAAAATGGGCACCAGTGATTGAGAAATCACAGCAGTGTTTCAGACTCAGTTATCACAGATAACGCCACCCACTGAACACTGAGAACTCTGCATATTCGACCAGAGGATTGGTCTCTAAGTGAAAGTTCTGCAGAATGAAATCTGAAATGCCAAGATTTTTTTTTTATGTCACTGCCAAACAGCTAAGGTTAAGATCATTAACCTGTAGGAGAAATGAAAAGTGTTGGATCTAAATGAATAATTATGATTCTGTCAGAATAATAATGATTCTGTCTGACATGGGGTTTACATTTATGTTTTTAATATTTTTTTTGAAAGATATTGATCTGATTTTTTTTTAAGTTCTTATTTGTAGTCTCTCACCTGTGCTGTCATGCTTTTGTGTATTTGAACGTCAAGTGCCTTAATTGTAACGAACGAGGATTTCTCCCGTCTTCATGTTCTCTCCTTTATTTCTGAAGCCCAAAACACAACCTCCCACCAATTCATCCATCGCTTTCCCTCACTAATCATGACTCTCTCCTTAAACTCACTCATTCCACTACGACTAATCCCGACCAACCAGCAAACATGATGTGGAAGAAACATCCGTGGCCTGATTACAGTGTTATATTTTTTATTTTGTACTTTCTTTGAGGTAATGATGCAGAAATACTGTTAATTATGATAAACGTCATGAATCACAAAGAAAACATTTTTGAGTTTCTGTCTGTGTCTGAAGAATGAGTCTACACACCTCCCACTTAAATATCAAAGCTAACATTACTCTTTGTTAATTTTGTCTGTGTTTAAGACTGGGCTATATTTATTAGCACTCCTGGTAAGGATTTTTTTTATATGTTAAGTTTTCTGTACTGATTTTAAAACACTCACAGTATTACAGATACTCTGTCAAAGTTTGCTTTGGATTGTAGTTTACAAAAGTTAGCTCTAGCCAGGACAGGCACCGGCATCGCCTGCCGCATGAGAGTTTCAAAGGCAAACAAATCTAAGTCTTCAATTTTCCTCTAAGAGAAGTATGAGGATAAAAAGCAGAAAACTGCAATGTGTGAAAGTTCCTGTAACTACATCAAGCATTGCCCAGAAAAATGCTAAAACGTGAGCACTACATCTTAAACTCTAGGCCTCAGTCAGCCTGCAGCTTTAATTTACAGAAGATCATTGTTTTATTGTTGCATTCCCAATTATGTATTTTTCTTAATTTTTATGATCAAGATCTGACTTTTCTGCTATAAAGAAACCTGTGCGATAGCCTAGAACGTTATTCTGCTTTATATTCTTTCTTGATGTGGAAATAAAGTTCAATCCAGGAAAAGGCAGGCAAAGGATGTTAATCAGAGCTGTCAAAAGTCTTTATTTCTCAAGCAGAAGTATACATGCTACTGTTTAAAACCCCTTTGTTGAAGTTAGAGTGTCAACTTAAGCTGTTTAATCAAGTAAAAGTACCATTTTTAAAACAAAGTAAAAAAAGAAAAAGTAAGGACAAGCTCTAAATCTTATAATGCACTACCCTATTAAAGGGATAGTTTCTATAATTGACAAATTTACTGTGCATCATCTTGAAAGACTATTTATTTTTGTTACATGGCGAACAAGTTGGTTCAGTACCGAGTCCAACCAAAAAGTAATGAATTGTCTGGATAAAACAAATTGTTTTGATGGTTTTATTATTTTTTTTTTTAAATACCGAGCCGTAACAAAAATGAGCTAAAATGAAACTAAGTCTTTTTTTATGTTAAGAGTAGAAAATAAGAGAAAACTGCAACAAAAAAAAATGCAAGAAGTAAAAACGTGTTTTAAAAAATAATTAAACCAGTAAAGTAGATAGCCAAAACTTAAGAAAGGTAATGAAGAATTTGTGCTTTGTTACTTGAAACCTCTGATGATAATGAAGGTGGAGGTGTGTTGATTTCCCTCCTGTGCATTTATTTCTAAGCTCTAATCCTGATCAGACTGAAGATATTGAACAAATTGATCAGTTACTTGTTTTTAATTACATTTTGCAACCCCTATTTTTTAACTACTTCTTCTGCATTTCTCTCCTGCTTTCCTGCTTCAGCTGTATAGATTTCTCAATCCATTGCAAATATGTCATTCTTTGCACCACCCACCTCCGAGACCTATATGAAAACTAAAGTAACTAGTTCCATGAAAAATCAGTTTTGTGCACCCTGTCCTAAATCCAATACTTAAAAAGCAACATCCTGAAATAAAACAGATGTGGAGATGGCATGTTAACGTAATGCTTTGAATTATATTTGTTAAAAAAATATATAATGGGTCCTTTCTCTTCCACTTATTTTGTGTTACTCTATCACATAAAATTCCAATACATAAACAGAAGTTAGGAGTGGCAACATGACAAAAAGGCAAGATACTATCATATTTGTGAGACATGTATTTTTTTTACCAAACAAAAAATTTTAAGTTAATAATTTCCTGTGCTTTTGTACTCGTTCGCTGCTCTTAGGTCATTTCAGAGAAAACACAGTTGATAATCTGCTCACTGGTTTTAGAAAAAAAGGAACCCAAGACCTTGACACACAGTCACAGACCTGCATGTCCCACCTCCACTGCCAGAGTTAATGAAGAAGAATAAATATGTGGGCTTCCCAGATATCTACGTAATTGGTATCCTACTAGCTCGTGTCCAATAAAAAAAAAGGTTGAAGCCAACGCGTCACTAGTATCTATCTGACTCATGTCCAATAAAAAAAGGTTGAAGCCAACGCGTCTCCAGTAACTCTCTGACTCATGTCCAATAAAAAAAAGGGTGAAGCCATCGCGTCACTAGTATCTGTCTGCCTCATGTCCAATAGAAAGCTGAGAAAGAAATACAGTCTGAGAGTTTTAGCTCGGAAACGCCATCTTACTTGGAAAGGGGGGTTTAAACGGGTTGAAGACAGGAAAACGGGGGCTGTGACAGGGATTAATAATTAGGTTGTGATAGTGTGTGAATCTTTCTCATAGCTCCGAAGTAGCGTCAGTTATGGCTGTGAGCCTTTCTCCGGAAAAGTGAGAGTGCGCTTGGAAATCTGCACTTGTCGGTCCGAAGCTAGCTTAGCCAGGCGGAGGGAGGGTGGAGAGTTCGAGGATTTTTTTTTCCGTTGTGAAAGAAGTTATTTGTTTATGTTGTTCAACGCGGATATGTCCTCTTCAAATCCAGGTAAGGAGCGGTCAAAGTCAAGTTGACGGTTAACCTACGTTCCTTAGCCGCTGTTAATCCATTTTTAGCTATTTTTCCATCAGTGCTGTTTTATGTAAACATTTGCCTAAAGATGCGTGACAGCAAAAGCTAAGTTAGCTTAGCATTGGAGCTAATGCTAATATAAGCCTAGCTGGTTGTTACACAAGAAGTTGATTGTTAACTGACTGCTGGTGCCTTTAAACTTCAGTTTTGAGATGTTAAAATAACACATTGAATGTTCTAACTTTTGTACGAACCATAGATTTGGAATATAACGAAAATTACAGGGCTAACTGTCAAGCATTTCTCAGTTAACTCGCTCCAGATGTTATGTTTTTTTAATGTTGTTTGTAGCTCTGAGGCTAGCCATGCGTCGCGTTGTCTCTGCCATCTTAAGAATCTCAATAAAAGGGTTTTGCTTTCTTTTCGAGTTAACTTCCAGCCCAACAAACATGTAGCTCGCTGTACTTTTAAGTTTAGGGCCCTATACGCGGTTAGGTTTCCCTTTCACTGCTTTAAGCACAAAAGGAAATCACCTGTCATCTGCGCTTTATTGAGTCTGTCCCTCGCTGTGTTATTAATAGACTTAACAGACCACAGTCTGGGTATGGGAGCAAGTGGGACCCCGAACGGCGGGACTAGTGTCCCGAAAGGCACCAACAAAAGACGGGCAGCGTGAGTATTTTATCAGTTGTGTTCTGTAAATGTGTCTGGTCTCCTCATCCTCGACGAAAATAATCACAATGGTCCGATTTGCTTTATATTACAGGCAAGAATTTGACGAAGATGATGGAAAGTTGATGAGGTATTTTGCCCCCTATGTTTATGTAGTTTTCTTACGTGTATCTGGGCTGAACTGGTTCATCTACTCTTCTACACAAATACTGGATATTGTCATGTTCTCTATACAGACTAGACACAGGGTTGATATTATTATTGCATGTAGTTTTGGAAAGCAGATAAGACTTCTTGATCCCTTTATTAGAGTAGAATGACTTGTAAACTAAAAAGGCAACAACCTTCTTTCATCGTTTTGCAGAAGATTTTACTATATCGGTTTATGTTAAACTCTGGCATGCAAATACAGACTCTAGCATGTTACAATTTCTCTTCAAGATCTAAAAAAATATATTCATTAGCTTTTTTTTCTTTTTTTTTTTCTTCCTGGCTTAGGTTTTTACTAGTTCTCATAGTAGTGCCCATATTTTGCATCTGCAACTTGACATTTTATCCTTTTACATGGCAAATTTGCTCCCATGTAATAAGCTCTGGTCAATTCTGTTATTTCTTTGTTGTTGAGGTAAAATATTTTTATGAATAATGAAGATAAGAGATTGCTAAAATTGTTTTTAATTTTATTTTACAATAACTGAAAACATACCTGACACCAAAATAACATTGAAAAATCTTTTGAGGGTAGGTATGAGTTGTTGAATCTTATGTGTGGTTTAAACAAACTAAACTGCGCTAGTTTGATAACTATGTGTAAAACGTTTTGAAATGGAAGTGGGTTAGGATAAAGTTAAGCTACGAATTGGTTCATTTTTTAGGAGCTGTTTTATCGTAGGCAGAAAATTTGAATGACCTTTCCTCTGATGACTGCCTATATGCTTCTTGAATCATATGTGAAATGGACTTGGTTAGATGAGAAGATATATGCACATGAATTGTTTGAGACGCTTTGATGACAGTGTTTGCTTTCTTTATCAGATTTGACGATGAAACAGGAGGCTCAAACAATGAAAAAGAGCGCTTTGCCAGGTAGGGTTTACTTGTGAAGGACAGCATGTGATAGTGTTATTGGGATTTTACCCCCTATTCTCTTTCCTACTTTAAGTTTTTTGTTCTGGTTTGTTTGTTTCTGTTGTGTATGTGTGTGTTATATTTTTTTTATTTTTTATTTCCAGTAACTTTTGGGTCGGTGTTTTAGTAGGCTGGTTTTATTTCCAGGTTTCTGGAAGAAGATCAGAGTTTTGCAGATAAGGAAAAACTAGCCAGGTATGGCATGTAGCACTGAGGAAGGTTACCTCTCCTGCTTGTGTCCATATTGATACTGAATGCGATGATCAGATCTTATCCTGCCCTGCTGGGATCCCAGCACTCATTTTGACAGCACACATTTACCAGTACATTTTTGTCCCTCTGTGTCTGTTTTGGTGCTTGTCAGAAAGGCAGCTGGTCGTCTCTTGCAGACTGCCGTTATGTTATGTGTCACTAACCACACTGCTGTTTGTGAGTCTGGGTCTTCTTTCACTCTGGTATAATCCCTTCAGCTTGAGCAACTGTTCTTTGTCCCTTTTGTCTCCCTCTCAGGACAACTAAAGGGTCTTTTCTCTGTGCACATGCTCTCTTTTGTCACACAGTCTGGCCTCAGAAGGCCAGACATTCGTCCTTTCTTAACTACAACTATTTCACTGCTCACATTTATTTCATTATTTACTTTTTATGCGTCCATGATTTATATTATGTTCTTTCATTCCCAGTTCTTCCTCCTAGTTCTCACATTTACATTGCATCTCCAAACTCTGCTTCATGTTTCCCACCTTCTCGTCTGTTTCCACCATTTCAATCGCTGCTTTTCTCTCCATTCCTACCAACCCATTTCCTCACTCCAGGGAGAATCACAGTGAGATTGAGAGGCGGAGGAGGAACAAGATGTCTGCCTACATCGGGGAACTGTCGGACATGGTGCCCTCGTGCAGCGCACTGGCACGAAAACCAGATAAGCTGACTATTCTGCGAATGGCGGTCTCCCACATGAAGTCCCTCCGAGGAAATGCCAATACTAATGCAGATGGGTCGTACAAACCTTCGTTTCTCACTGATCAGGTATGAGAGCTGAGGAAAATGGGATTATCTAATGTTAAAGGGTGCATCTTTAGTCGGCTTGAATCCAAACTTTGTGACAAATCAAAGACACAGTTTATACTGGGTTTCAAACTGTTTTGCTTGTTAGTTGACAGTCTTAATTTATTTAAGCTCTACTCTCTTATTTATAGCTGATGGTTACAAGTTTAACTCCTCCCAGCCATTAAGTTAGCTTTGTTAAGTCTACACCAGCACACACAAGCTTGACTGATCTTGACCAGTTTTTTATTTATTTGTTTTTTTTGGCTTGAATCTGAGCCATATCATAATTTCTTAGGTCTATAAAAGAACTTCTAGAATCTGGCAAAGCCTGAGCTCCACCTCACATTATATCAACCTATAGATTGCTATTGGTCCTTTTGTGTTAAGTTTAGCATCTTAACTAGTAGTAAATTAATATATATATGTATTAATATATTTTGGTCCTGTTAGAATTTATAAAACATGTTTATATTCAATAGTTTTTTCAATAATAATCATGTTGTTTTTTTTTTCTCCACAACTCTAGATGTCCTGTGGAGATATTATGTTGACAAATTGTTTTGATGAAAAAGCTGTTATTATGATTTTTAAACTCCTGCCACTCCTGGCTCTATTGACAACTAAATGCATAAGGCAGTTGGGGTCTGTTTCAAAAAGCAGTTTTAACAAACTCTGATCCAAATATTGAACTCTAAGTTGATTTGGCCTAAGGTTGGAAACTTGTGAATTTTTGGTTTCAGTGAAGTAAGTCAGTGAGTTAGCTTCATTGACTTTCAGTAGGTCCACTCAGTTGAACACATGCATAACAAGTATGAAAAGCCATTATCAGTGGAGCCCCTATTTGACGAGTCACCATGACGACAGAAAACAGGAAGTGTGTATTTCATATCACTGGAACTAGAGATTAGAAATTTAGAAAACCAAACAAAATGGAGAATATATGTAAAAGACAGAGAAACAGCTCTAAAGGAGAGAAAGATGGCATAAAAGAAGATTGCTGCGCTACTAAATGGATTTTGTTTTTTTTTTACATTTATTAAAAGCACTCTCCTCCCTGTTGTTCCATTTGTGGATCACTAAAATAGAAATTCTGGTAAAAATCACTTTCTTAGTGGAACTGTAATAATCTATTTTCTGAATTACATTTCTGCAGCAGAAACTGAATTTCAGAAAGTAAAAAAAAATTGTGCTAGTAAGAAATAAGTTTTATATACCTAGAAACGACCACTTAAAGACATTTTATGTGGCCGTCTTGACATTTATTAGCTTAACTGAATATGTATTCCTGATATCTGATATTTTTTTTTCAGTCAAAATAATAGAAATGATGGCCACTGGCCAGCAACAATAGAAGTAATGTATACTTGTGTGCAGCTGGAACAAAACCTTTAAGACAAAGGTGAGGAAACGGCATGGATTGGAATAAAATTTGACAACAATAGAAACTGAAGCAGAATACATTATTTGTTTGTGCTTAAAGTAACTTTAAGTCCTAATGAGGTTGCCTGCAGAACAGCATCATCCACTTTAAATGATTACCAGGCAGATGGACCTCTTGGCCCAGTCCTAGCAGTTAGCTTCACCATGCACTCACCTGCACTACTACTAAAACTATCACTGTCATTGCAGTCAGATAAATAAGAAAAACCCAGGCACTTAGTTGGCAGAGAGAGAGAGTTTTTGGGTCAACTAAAGTGGTTTAAAGAGGCCTTATGAAGCTTTCTATTGATACTGCCACCTGTGGCCAAAACACGGAATTGCAGCACTCTTCTAAATGTTCTGGTTGCTAATGCTTGTACTTGTACGACGGAGTATAAGGGGCAAGCTAGAGATAATTTTTTTTCCTTCTATTACGAGAATAAAGTCATAACTTTACGAGAATAAAGTCGGATATGAATAAAGTCGTAACATTGCAAGAATAAAGTCATCATACAAGAATCCGTTTCAGAAAGAAAGCTTCGAGCTCTGACCAGCAGATGACGGCCGACCAGCAACCAACCAAACAGCAACCCGAGTCCACTTTGACATGCTACCCAAAATGACGCTGGTGTGCTCAAAGATTTTCTTATTTGTTCAACCAGAACCAAAGCATAACTTCACATGATGCTCGACATTCCTCATTTTAGAGAATAAAGTGCTTATTGTAAGAGTTCTCATAAAATACGTGTTTCTTATAATTTTAGGACTTTATTCTCTTAATATTACGGCTTTATTCTCATAATTTTATGACTTTATTGTTGTAATTTTACAACTTTATTCTCGAAATAGAAGGAAAAAAATCTCCAGCTTGGCCCTAATACTGCGTATAATTCATAAGGTTTTGTTGGGGATTATGTTTTTTGTTTTTTACTTTTTCCACTTTAGAGTTGCCATTGGATTTTGAGTTGAGCTTCTTTGTATACACATAATCCATCTTGAATATAACACTTCATCTGTTTGCCGTGTTGGACCCATTTGACAGATGTCAGATCTGCAGTACAGTGAGGAAACTTCCAACCCAAACCATATTCAGGGAAAATAGTCTCTTAAATTGAGTGCATTACTGCTGTACTGAAAAATAGAGTAAATAGCCAGATATAACAAAATGGGACATGTATATTAACTGGTGTAAAATGTGCGTGGGAAACAATTAGTTTGACAAAAAAGATACAAATTTAAGCAGAGATATAAAAGAGATTTTGAAAGCAATCATTGTCAGAGATAGCTTCATCTTCTTAAAAGCATGCAGTGCCTACGTGCTGGGCCTGCGTGGGTCTCATAAGAACCAATACAGGCCAATCGGCTGGTTATTCTTCATCCTGTGAGGATTTTGTTGATGCACAGTGACACAGAACACAATGAAATGGTATTACCCTTTATCATTGGATTAAATTGATCTTACTCACCGTCTGTTTATAAAGGGCTGACTTTGTCAGTGAGTCACTTAAATTTAGAGATTGACTCCTATTTTTGTGGGGGTGTTTTGTTTGTTTCTGAAGGCCAATGCCAATTTATTTTGACATCAAACATTTCCCTGATATGTGCTGCTGATATTTTTGAACTGATTCTTGGAGCTGATGTTGCTTTTCCTACCTCCTCTTGCATGAAAAAAAATAAAATAAAATACACAATGCCAGCAAATAATACACAAGTCTTGATTTAAACAAAAAACATCCTCATCAAACAAACAGGTGGAGGGAGCAGCAATAAATGTGCTTCACACCATTTCAAGTCATTGTTGCCGAATGAATTGGCGAACACTTGCATGTATCAACTGATGCGATAATTTAAAAAGCTGGCTAATATTGCTCGGCCAAAGGCCTGCTGGCCTCAAATAAGCCATTATACACTAGGTGTAAGTTAGAAACACGTTCAGCGGTCGTCTGGAACACATCAAATACGTTGATATGCGCTGGAGACAAGTTCTTGATAAGTTATGCAGAAGTTATTCATAGGTTTTGGATGAGCTAGACGGAATGACTTATGAGTAACTTACAATTAACGTGTGTCAACGATCAGATAACTTACCTGTTACTTTTGGCCAACGTATGAGCATACGCTAGCATACTTGCCGTAACGATATACTTGCTGTTTGTCGACCTGTGTCAGCATTCTTCAGTGTGCTCTTAACTTATAACTTACACAAAATATACCAATAACTTATCCAACATATGCCAGCGTTTTTGCCAGACTTTTTGTATGTCAGGCATACGCTAGCATAAATTGTCATGGCGTGACAGGGGCTTAAGATCCCTAAAACTGCAAAGTAACCAGTTGAAAACAAACAAATGTTGACCCAGTCGCGATGCAACATGATAGAAAAACATCACAAGTGTAGACTGCAGAAAAAACTTAAACAAGGAACCGGTTTGTCTTTGTTTTTATTTAGTGTTTAATGGACTGTATAGTGCTTTGCATTGACTTTCCCGCCATCTTATTTTTGCTCATCCACAGGAGCTTAAGCACCTCATCTTGGAAGCAGCAGACGGCTTTTTGTTCGTGGTGTCATGCGAGACAGGTCGCATTGTTTACGTCTCGGACTCTGTCACACCTGTACTTAACCAGGCGCAGTCGGAATGGCTGGGCACCTCTCTGTATGATCAACTCCACCCAGACGACACAGAAAAGCTCAGGGAGCAGCTCTCAACCTCGGAAAACAACAACACGGGTACAGTAAGACAAACAAGGCCTTCTCACGGAAGAAAACAGAAGAAAATCTTAACTTTTTGTGTCATGTTTACTTTAAAAGGGAGAATGTTGGACCTGAAGACGGGAACCGTGAAAAAGGAGAGTCAGCAGTCATCAGCTAGAATGACTATGGGAGCACGTCGATCATTCATCTGCAGAATGAGGTTAGGCTCACACGTTCTAGATAAATCAGGCTGGTACGCTCTTTAAACTGATGGGTGGGTGTGGCTTGACATTTAAATTTGTTCTGAATCTGTCTTTATACCTTCCTGCAGATGCGGCACATGCCCAGTGGAACCAATGTCCATGAACAGGCTAAGCTTCCTTAGGAGTAGGAACAGGTGAGTAAACCAAAGAACCTCTATCTTTGAATTACCCATAAGATCCAGAACTCCAATGGAAAATGCATGTTTTTTTTCTTCACACCAGGAATGGTTTAGGAACTCCCAAGGAAGGGGAGCCCCAATATGTTGTGGTCCACTGTACGGGATACATCAAGTCTTGGCCCCCTGCAGGTGAAAAAAAAAGTACAGATACTTCTGTTGCATAATGTTGATTTTAACAGGACTCTCTGCTGATTACCTTTTCATATTGTTTGTATTTCAGGTGTATCATTAACAGAAGATGAAGCAGATAACAATCAGGGGAGTCGATATTGTCTAGTTGCCATCGGGCGATTACAAGTATGGATGTTGTTTTTGTTTTTTTCTCAATATAGAGACAAAATAGTGGGATTCACATGGTGAAGTCAGGGTTGCCATTCTGATTTGATGACGTTTAGCCTCAGTAGTACAACTGTTGTCAGCGGCTGCAGCTCAGTGAGGAGAGTGGTCGTCTTTAACTCCAAAAGTTGTTGGTTTGTTTAGTTTCTTGCTGTCACAGGACAATGTGCCCGTGGGCTAGGCATTGAACCCTAAGAGCCCAGTCTGTAGAGCAAGCTAATCAGACCCACCAACTCTTCTGCCTTTAGATGATGATATAAAGGTTTCTGAGTTGTTATGAGACTTGTGAAACTCCAAATTTGGGGCCAACAACCAATGATTCATTTGCAAATCTGTTGATTCTTTTCTATGTATTTCTGATAACAAGAACTGCTTAATATGTTTTGGTTGTTTTTTTTTTTTTTTTGTTCTTGTTTTTTTTTTGTAGAATATAAAAATATTTAGTACGGTTTTGCCTTAATGCCGCGGTTCTCAAAGTGTGTGGCGCGACCCACTGGTGGGGAATTGAGACGTGACAGGTGGGGCGCGCCAAGTTCCGG